CACCCCCCCCCCCCCCCCCCCAGCTAACTCCATTACAGTGGGAAAGTAAGATTTAAGATAAACCAGGTCACCGGTGAAATTTCCTGGCTATCTCAGATGTTTGTGTTCAGATCACAGCCTACCCCACACAAGCCTTTAGAAGCGGTATCGGTACCTAAACTGGATGTCCCATGAGGGCTGCATCACGCCAAATCCATAGCGGGTCTTGTTTATTGGAGGAACTTCCTCCTCCTGATTTATCAGCTCCACATCGAAGTATGTGAGAATCAGAAAGGCAAAAAGTTTGATTTCATTGGTCGCAAAGAAACGTCCAGGGCATATGGAGGTCCCTGCCCCCCAAGGCATAGTGAAATATTTCACCTTTTCCCCGTTCTTATAGAATTCTTTTTTGTTGCCATTTTGACTGAGGAACCGGTCGTATTTGAAAACATGAGGCTCATGGTGGATTTCTGGATCCATGTGGGCAGACAAATAGGGGAAAAGGCCAATTTTGTCTCCTTTGCGCAGCATGTACGACCTTCCATTGCTGAGCTTGATGTCCATGTCTTCCATCACCAACCTGATCAACATAGGGGCTGTCGCCATTCTCAAGGTCTCTTCTACCGTGCTGTCCAGGATCGGGGTCTGGCTTAACATCTCTTTGGTGACATTGAGCAACTTCTCTTTGGAGGCCGCTTCCTGACCGGAATTTTGCACGACCTCCTCTATTTCTTTCTTCACCTCTTCCATGGCTTTGGGATTTTTCATAAGGTACACAAGAAGCCAGAAGGAGGCTGGACCAGTGTTACCTTGTGCTGCCCAGAGGAGCAGAAACATAAACCGGTCCTGCATATGTTCTGGTACCCCAGACTCAGCTAGCTGCTGTCCCTGGTCGCTTATCCATCTGCTAATGTTGTCCTTCTGGTACACGTTCTTCATCGAAAGCACGTCCCAGAAGTAGTTCCACAGTTTCTTCACTTGGATCCTTTCCGCAAGAGTCAGCAAGGAATAAGAAAAGCGCGGAAACAGTTTGTCATATTTGCGAAATTCTACATAGACCTCTTCGGTGTGATTCAGGTCTTGTTGCCTGGCTTTCTCTTCCTCTTTTCCACCCTGAGTGGGTTCATTTCCATACAAAGCAAGATAGCCAGCCCTGAAGACTGTGTTGTAGCAAAAGTGGAACAATCCATCTTGTTTCCAAGACTTTTCTCCTTTGGAGGATCCATGGCAGTGAAGCAGGACCATCTGCAAACCGTCCATCATGGCTTGTGTCATGACCACCAGCCCATCTCCCTTAAGATTCTTTGTGCTGGAGGTGTCTATGATCTTATGAGTCATTTCAGAGGACTCAAACTTAAACACTTTGAGGACAAGTTGGGACGCAAATGAAATAAAATCCAGCTTGGCTCTCGCTTCCTTGACAATGGCTCCGAAAGACAACGGGTCCATCAGAAAAGTGAAATACTGCCCTGCGATCAACGAGGTGAAAATGTCCCCATGTTTCTTCTGCATGGTTTGCAGGAAATCAACGTTGTCGTTTCTGAAGTGTAGTGCATGTCCCAGCCATGGAATGAGTCCTTTATCCAAAGGAGGTTCTTTGGGTCGCCTTTTGCGGAAGAACCCCGACAGGTAGAGGCCCCCCAGCAGGGCCACTACAAGGGCACCCAGAACTGTCTCCCAGAAAGGCATTTCTTCGGGTTCCTGCCACAAAACAGAGCAGCAGCATCAAAAACAGGATATTTAAAGGTGGGTAGGTGTTTTGTGAGCAAAGGAGGAGTCTCATTCCGTCAAGCAGACTGGGAGTTGCAGTTAACCCTCACGATGAAAGAAAGAAAGAAAGAAAGAAAAGCCACTCCTTTTCTGGGCTTTCCACCAGAAAGCCACGAAGAAATGATGAACAAGCGGGAAGTGAGTTTGAAAGTACGTGTGTATGTGTGTCGGTGTTTATTTGACATTTGAGGGTATGTATTTTCCTTACCCAATGCAAGTTTTAAATGCTCAGCTCTCTTCTTTCTTGCCAAGCTATGCAAACACAAGCGTAAAGAACAAGGTCTAATTTCCAGAACTGGGGGAAAAGAAGAACTCTGGAATATTTGGACAAGAGCAATAAGCCACATGACAAGGGTTGTGGAAAAAATGCAGAATGGGAGACTCTGCTGATCTCATAATTACTGTGCGGATTTTTTGTGTGTTTTGCCTTCTGTTCAAGTAAAAATTGTGTAGCAATAACAATTAGGCATCTACAATTAGCACACCATTTATGGAGAAGGAGGAGGAGGAGGAGAAGGACTGATCTTCCATGCAGGAAATACTTTTACACCATTGTGACATTAGGGCTGAGTTCTTACAATCTGGATTAGCAAACCTGAATTGCTGGGTTTGCCTCAAGTGCCGTTCCCTATGAATGAGCTTAATACCATGGCCTTTTAAAACATGTTCAAACAAAAGTGTAAAACGTGGGGGTCCCCCAAACATGCTTTTGGAGGAGACACTAGAGTGGGTAGGTTTTAATTCTGGGGAACTGGAATGACTTCAAGGGCAATTTTCACCTGGAAAAAGCCTTAGACCTGCTCAAGGTTGATCCCGACTTCTCCATTTGTGGGGTGCAGCCTCGAAGGCACGCCCCACAGAACCTGAAGTGAACCTTTAAACCACACAGATATCAACCCTTTTGGCCTAAAGGGAATTTCCACACCAAGGTTTTGTGCCATTTCAGGATCAGGGTGAATCCCACAACATCTTTTCTTCTTCAGGGGCGAGTAGATTTACTCCAGAGGTTATGGTGGTTTCATTTGCTTGCTACCGAGATGGCATTTCCCTTAAAGCTCTGGGAAACTTGTAATCCATTCCTTTCTCACTACCCCACCTACTGCAGGGCCCCTGGGTTCAAGCCAACAAGTGGTCTTCCTCCCCACACCCATTCCGGCCCTCTGCTACTGCGGCCATCCTCCCCATAAGAAATTGGGCATTTCTCAAGGGCCTGGCACGCGATTCCACCTTCACATCTCACAGGGGCTTCTCAGGGCAGCAGAAGAATGGCAGAAGATGGCTAGAGAGCCACTGGGGGATTCACAGAACCATGGAGTTGGGATGGGCCCTAGAGGTCATCCAATCCAACCCCCACTCAGGTTAGGGACCACTAGAACATCTCCATCTCCAATGGCCTCTTCCAGTGGCTGACAGCTCCTACAGTCGGGAAGCTCCCTCCGATGTCTAGCTTGAACCTCTTCTTGGTCATTTGACCTGGTGGTCCCCTTGGGAGATGGCCAAGACACGAATGACCAGGAGTGGGGCCTCCAGTGCAGGAAAGGGTGCAAAGGGGGCACAAGATGCATTTCTGGAAAGGCCGCCTCAGCCGTGGCTGCCACCTGCTGCTCAAGCAGGAGACGGAGAGCAGGAAAGCATTTATTAATTTATTTCTTCGATTTTTTTTTAAGGACGGCCTCCCGCCAGCTGCCTCGGAGCAGCTGACACAGCATGTGCTAGTGAAACCCAACCCACAGAAATAAAATGAATGCAGTACAATAGTGACACCAGGAGAAACGAAACTGTACAAAACAGCGTAGGCGTGATAAAAATAAATCCTATGGGCCAGTGTTTCTCAACCTTGGCCACTTTAAGATGGGTGGACTTCTTAAAGTAGCCAAGGTTGAGAAACACTGCTATAGATGCTGTAAGAGATTCTGATTGGAAAACCTCTGCAGGGAAGCAACTCTGGAACACAGGAGAGGCTCGAGGGATACACCTGGTCTGCATCTGTTACTCCACCCTCATACCCAGGCTGGGTGGGACACAGGCAACATTATTAAAAAGAGAGGATGAAACCACTGCGCATAGAATGACAAAGGCAGAGTCTGCTAATAATGAGCAGGAAAATCAAACCAGGGGAAAGTGCATTTCACCAAGAAGATGAGCTGAGAAATGCTTCCAAAAATGCACCGAACTCCTACAGTCGGGCAAAGCGGAATTAAAAGTTAGCTTCAGAGAGAGGAAAACATAAACGTGTCTGCCCTTCATCTACCTTTCTTTCTTTAACGATTCTTTAATGATTACAAGAATGAATTGCAATAAGCATTTGCAACACATGGTTCACCTGGCACCTGAAGCAGCTTGAATCCTTGAACAATTTGTTTCTTATCCAGCAACTTCCACAGGGAAGACTGGTGTGTGTGTGTAAGAATGACAAAAACAACCACAATGCAACCCCCTGCCCATTTTTTTTAATGGACCTTACAACATTGCACCCTTGTACAATAGGGTCAGAGCAGCATGATCCTGTAGGTCAGAGTTTCTCAACCTTCGCAGCTTGAAGCCCACACCTCTTCAAGTTGCCAAGGTTGAGAAACACTGTTGTCGATCATCCCCACTTCGTTTTTCCACTTGGAATATTCCAAGTAGGACTGTCTGTCTCATGCTCAAAAGAAGCTAATTTCTGGATGCTCACAGTATCTGGGGTCACAGGAGACATTCAGCCCCAAAACAAGGCAACAAACCCACATTGAAAGGGAGCAGGCTTCATGTGGAGCTGCAAATGACTTTCTTAAATAGCAGTGTTTTTCAAACTTGGCCACTTGAAGAGGGGTGGATTTCAACTCCCAGAATTCCCCATAGAATGCTGGCTGGGGAATTCTGGGAGTTGGAGTCCATACATCTTCAAGTGGTCGAGGCTGAAAAACACTGGGATACAGGTTAGAGATGAGAGGGTTAGAGAAAAGATAACAGGTGCTATTTGAATTGCAAAGTATGCTTGTGAATAAGCCGAACGGGGAAAGAAAAAATCTCCAGTTTGTATTTGAAGACCAACTTATTTAATTTGCACTTCCTGAACTACCCTGTACTCTTAAAATGCAAGTATATTTGAAGAATCACCCAGCGTTGCTGGGAGTCAGGCAGCTTATACATTTTAATAAATTGCTATTATTATTATTAAGAATCAACATTTTCCGAATAAGGAAAAGTATGCATTGTAGAAGAAGACATTTACACAAAGGTAACATTAGAACTGTTCAGGCAGATTAAAAAAGAACAAAGCAAATGTGGAAGGAAACCCTGAACATAATGTTGGAAAAAGGAACAAAATAGATTTCTCTGGAAGAATTCACGTTTATTAGTTCTTTGGAAACAGATCCAGACATTCTGTTCAAGGTCGTTGAAGCATATCAGGCCAGCCTATTTACTCTTGTGTGTGTATTTTTGGAACCCCCTGAAAAATGGTATAGATACCCTGTTGTGAAATGGAGTAAAAGAGATTGCAGCTTCTTCTGAAAGTACAAAGTTTAGGCAAGTTCAGGTATAATCAAGGCCTCATTACATAAACAGAGGGTGTGGATGCCCTTTCTACACAAAACTCAGCGTTACCCTGCTTAAAATTCAACCTAAAAAGGAGCTTTGGGACTGTAGGAGAGCCAAGCGTGGCCACTTGGGGCGGGTGGGGTCAGAAAAGTCAAAATGGTGGCTGCAACTGTGCCATCAAAGCCCGCGCTCTTCTGGCATATCCAAAAACTGGATATCGGTCTCAAGGTGGGCTGTGATCAAAATAGAACAGGGTAGAACAACTGCTTCCTGAGACATGGAAATCAGACTTCTGTTAATGCATCCTGAATCAAACTTTTTGGGGACTTCCAAGCCGGTGGTGCATTTCAAACCGCTGCAATTCGCTCGACTTGGAAACAGTCCGGAAGCTGTAGCTGGTCCAAAACCCAGCTCCCATTTTTAACCAGACTCAGATGGTTAAGTCGCATAATCCTTATCCATTTATTTCAAGTTTTATTTCATTTCATTCATTTGAGCCGAGCTGAGAGAGCATTTAACCTTTCTTCAATGTATTTCTGAGAGATTGTAAATAGAACAGGCGGCCTCAAAAATAATGTGCCGATCCTCCGTTGGAGAATAACCAAGTTTTTGTTCAGTAAGGATCTGCTGATGTCTCCCCTCAATCACTGCTGCAGGCAATTGCCTTAAAATAAGAATAGTAAGTAAAGGAAAAACGTATTTTTTCCCCTGAACTCTTTTCCAGAAACAAGAGTTCGTGCTGTTCTCTATTTAGCCCCTAGGTGGCGCTTTTGCTTTCTGTTTTGAAGTTGGCAAAGAGGAAGGTGGATAAACTGATTTAGTTTAAGCTTAATTCTCAGGAGAAATTGGCACTTTGGGGTAATTCCTAGGTAAAAAATGGCTGGAAAACCTTTGTGGGTTTTTTTTGTCCATTTGGTTTTTGAAAGAGGGGGGAAACTTGGGCTAAGAATGGGATAATTAATCAGTTGCTACAGAATTATACCCCTTCATGGA